TTCAGATGTAAAAATCAATTTCCTTTCTTTCTCCATTATTTTTTTTTTTTGAGAAGTCTTATAATACGACATGTGGAAAAATGTACATAAATAATTTTGATAGTTCCTCGTAGTTTCTTCATTATCTCTATTTAATTTATCTCTCGAATATATTTGACAGGTACCATCATAATTTTCAGATATACAAACAATTGATTTCTTTCCTGTCCTATTTTTTTTTTAAAGTCTTCCAGAATTTGAGTACAACGAAATTGCATCTCTGAAACTCCAGTACGTTTTAGAGGTTAGGGAGTACGTGGACAATTTGCTGGCAATGGTGAAACGACTGCACATTCGGCTGTTCCGAGCGCAGGAAAATTTGAAAAACATTATGGACAGACTATACCTGTGGGCGATGACGCCTGTACTTTATCGCAAAGACGCGAGGGACGAAAATTTATTGTTAATCGCGGACAAAGATGATAGATTCGAGGAAAGATACACAGAGATCGGAGACACTGCCGAAGAACTGAATCGAATTCTGGAGGAAAATTATAAATTATTTTTCAACTTGATGCCGGAATCATTTTATGAACAGGATGAGGCAAACGGCAGCGATTGTAAGCTATCATAGTATCATTGTTATGATATTTGTATTTTTCAGCTTAATTGTTTGTACAAATTTCGACATGTTTCAAAAGCACATATTTAAGGTGGACATCTTACGTATACCACGTCATGAAGTTCAGGCAATCCTTAAAAAAATTGTCTACAAAACAATTCTTACGAATTATTTTTATTTAATATGGGATAACGGTATGACACATGACGACTTGTACAAACTTCGAGCTTAGCGCGAAGCCATCGCTACGCTAATTACATGCACAGCCCGCCGAAATTTGTTCGCTCCCCGATTGGTCCATGGTTTTCGTTAATAACTGAATAACAAAACGTTTACCAACATTATCGCTAAAGAAAAAGATATTTCGAATCACCCTAGAAATCATTCATTCCCGGGTTCTACGCTAATTCCGGGACACCCCATATTTTTACCGGTAAAAGAAGCAACACGAGGTCTTGCATGACCAAATGAATTCACTTTTTCGTCACGAATACATGACAGTGCAATATTTCTAACAACATATAAACATTTTTGACGTGGATTAACCATTTTTATATTGTTTTTTTATTGATAGAATGTTCTTCACAAATAATAAAAATTAAATTTGCTGCTGTACTATCCACTTCCAATTCATAATGAGTGTACACACCAAATTTTGACAAGTAAATAGACATTCAATTACTACTCATTTTTCTCCATTAGGTTTGCGAATTAAGAGTATTTTTACGAAAAAGGAGTTAAAAAACTCCTTTTAAAATTTTAATTCGACACTAATCTTATCAAATGAGTCGAAAATAATCTTACTCAATTATGAAGGAGAAACAACGCAATAAGATATTTTTTAAAAAAAGTTACACCGAGACGCAGAGTGTTGATACCTCGAATTTTTAGATATTTTTCAAATTATTGATATATAAAAAAAATATTCGACTTTTCCAATTGATTACATGAGTTGTCCACCTTATAAGAAATTAAAGAATCTGTTCTTTAAATTTGTATCTTTTTCCATGGCAAAACAACAGTGCAAATGTTGGAGTCGTCAGAGGTTTTGGAAGAAACCGTGCCAGAATCGCCAAGGTAATGTGATCAGAACCTTCAAAAACATAATTTTTGTTAAATTGTTAATTGATATGCAACGATGTCTACCATTCGAACAATACCTCGCGTTATATTTGTATTAGGTCATTAAGCATGAAATGCACATTTTACTCTAGAATTTTACTATAAAATCCATGCATTCCATACTTAATGTCCTAATACGATTATACGGGATGAACAAAGTAACTTCATCGCTTTGAGAATTTTAACTTCCGTTTGATGGTGCGAATAAATGTCAAAGTAATGAATTTTTGTGTTGAAAAAGTCAAATATTACGATTTGACTGCGGATCTTTATGCAAAATAGAAATGTTCAAAGCTGACACTGTAAGAAACAGAAATTAAATAAAAATAAATTTAACCTTTTAATAATTGAAAGTAGCATAATAAAATGATTAAATTCTTCTTAGATCTTCGCAATTTTCCACTTCAGCCACTGATTTTTGCCATAAAAGCATAAAATCCGCAGTCCAGTTATGATAAACAGAAACTTTTTTTAGTGATATTGAGATCACTGATGTTATGCAAGGTCACGTGAATGTCACTGTATTGTAGGTCATTGAATGGGTCTCGACCCTAACTAGCATGTCGTAATATACAGTTTGTGGTACGAACATAAGAAAAATTTTTTGTTTTTCATCGAATTTGCTTACCGAAACAGACCAATGTTTCCCTCTGGCATTTATCGTATTATCAAATACAAATAAAAGCAATCAAACTGTTTTATTCACTCACTATATTTGTAATCGTAGGTCAACATGACATTACGATTACAATAAAATTTTTATTTTTTTGTAATTTTATTCGATGAACGTCCGGTCATTTAATTGATTTACTCAATTTTATACAACTTGATGCTTGATTATAAGTTTCATTTTTGTTATACCTAGAGTGATGTGCATAATTAGTGATGAATTATAATGAATTACATTATGAGATTATAAAAGTTACTCAAAGTAACTTTTACATTTTTATAGATATTTAAACAAAAACCAAGAAAAAACTATATTTTTATATTTGAATTATAGAAATAATAGATATAACTGAAACGATAGATCTACAGGATGTTTCAAAATTATGGTACTTCCGGAAAATGATGGGTTCCTGGGGTCATTTGAAGTAACTTTTTCCTCAGCGAAATTGCAATCCGCGGCTTTATTTACAAGTTATTAATGAAAAACAGTGACCAATGAGAAGCAAGATCGGCTGGCGCAAGGCGGCCGAGCCAACGAGCGGTCGCAGCTCAGTTCCGCTCATTAGCTCCGTCGCCTTGCGCCAGCCGAGCTCGCCATTTCATTGGTCAGTGCCTTCTGTTAATAACTCGTGAACTCGGAGAAAATTGTAAAGGAAAAAGTTACTTCGAATGACCTCAGGTACCGGAAGTACCATATTTTTGGCACACCCTGTACGTCAGGAATAATAGAAAATAGAAATATACAAATATGATATTTCGTTAAGTTTAAGACCACTAAGGCGATTAATGTTTATTGTACTGTATTTACAGAATACAGATTATTATTTGTTAATTATATAGTATTGAGCATGAGATCAAAGACGAATTACCAGGAGAGCAAGAGGAAGCGGTAGAGGAAGAGGAAGAAGTTGACGAAGAAACTCAAGCACTTCGACGTGAGAAATGGCAGCCCTATCTCACCTATGTTGACAACTTAATTTCGAAGGGTCTCATTCAGGCTGTTTCCACAAGGTTATTTATTTTGACACCCTAACTTGCGAGAATTCTGAACTCTTTGCGCTTTATTAGAAATAAAGTGGTTACTTCAAGATTTGTATTATAAAATAGAGAAACATTTTTTTATCTTTTCATACGATCAGGAACTTAAATAAAATAAAATTAGATGTATAATGTACGAATACATAGTTGACGTTACAATTATAATTACAATTTCAAGGTCTATAATGTAGCGTACAGGATTGAAATGTTTATTAATTATTTTATAGATATTAATAATTATGTGCCGGACCACACGCGTTATAATTGCTATTAACTTGCATATACTAAAGCTGTCGACGATGTTTTTGCAGTTATTTTTCTGAATTTACAGTTCGTACAACGTTCTTAAAACTGTATTAATCAAGTCAAGATACTAGGTGAAAGTAGCCTAAGGATACAATTTCCAATTCATAGTTAATTAAAACTACCAATAGCGCTTCAAACGCATCTCCTTTCTAAGATTAATGGTTAGATTGTATTTGATTTATGATTCGTAGTTAGTGAAGTTCGTATGCTTTTTATTAGTTTAAATTGATTTTAGATCGGTTAGTCGTCATGGTTAGAATTCGTTGGACAATCCTTTTCACGTATTTTGAGCGAACAGCTTTATTATAATAAAAACATTTAATCTTGGTACCAGAACGTTCGCATAACTGAGTATTCTAATATGCAAGTACAAAGACGATGACCAAAAACAGCTTTGTTCTATGTAGTAGCTTTAATGGAACATAATTATATTATAACAATGAATATTATAATTGTGGAGACTATACTGCGGAAAATATAATTTCCATTACAAATGTGAACACTGTACATAATTATATATTTATTATAATTATATTATATAATATTCTGTTTGTGATTGCATTTTCGGTATTTTCAGAGCCGAGTTTCTACAATCATAGACGAGTATATGTGGGCACTTTTTTAGAAGCAAATAATTTTTTTAAGATTGGACCAAACGATTTCGATTTTTTTGACACAATGAAAGCTCCAAATTCTTTTAACCGAGCACATATCGAAAATTTAAAGAATAGATTTTTAAAATCATTTTTAGAGCAAATTAAAAAGTTGAAGATCGTGATTTTTTATTTTTTCACATTCGATCCAATTGCAATGTTCGCAAAAGTTTTTGTATGCATTGTCCAGCGAACTAGTCCTCCTGTTACCCCCCCCCCCCCCCCCCCCCCCAAAAAAAAAA